CAGATTTTAAACATACAAAAACCTATTAATTGAAGTTTTCCTCGTTGAATCAGTCGGTGATAAGAAACTTTGTTAGCGTTTGTGCTGTACTTTATTGGATTTCAGTGAGCCAGCCTGCACTGCAGCTCCTGTGGATTTATGGCCCTTAGTTGTCGATATGACAAGAATGACAGTCGTTAATGCTTGGAACAGTTACATGTCCATTCTCGTTCCAGGCCAGATATAAAATACCCAGGTCCTGAGATAGAAGTGACCGGCATCCACCGCACCTCTTCAAATACTGCGTTTGTGCGAGCTTCCCGTGAAGATGTTGTCAAGAAGACAGAAAAGTGGTCCTACATGCTCAGCGGTTCCTCGAGGGAGTACTGCAGTCGTATTCTGCTCATGTATCGTACATCCATAACTTGTAGCTGTCAAAGCTCAGCAGAAAGGCACGTGCTACAACGCTTAGCTCCTATTGTGTGAAGAGGATAAAACACTTGACATGGGCTCAGCTTTTTGGGACATGGTCGCACACTTGAGGGTTTTTAGCCATGCTAGCGGTGCAGCTCTTTAGTCCAGACTGAAATATCACAGCAACTGTTGGATGGATTGATATTTTGAATTTGGCGTAGCTTTGTGCCAATTCGTGCGGGCTTTTTAGTGTTTTGTTGGAGAGTCATAAATATGCCGCTGATCAGAAGCCAGTGGCTAGACAGTTCTCGGAGTACTTTATGACAATTGGCATCTCCTGATATATCAGATTTCATAAATTCCTGCATGGGAGGATTTCCAGGTTAAACGTAGAGTAAAACAAAACATAATGATTTCAAATGGAAATCTACAAGATATGTTATTGTTTTCCTACTTAAAACCTGAATTTAAAAAAAAAATGAGCACTTGATTTCTTGGAACCAGATGTTAATGGTGAACAATGGCATGGTCCACATGTGTCCAACGTGTGAAAAGGCTACAGAAAGACGAGGGAGTTGTCTCTGCGTGCCACAGATGACAAATTCCTCCCAAGTGAAAGCACTGTAGATCTTGTAGTTCAACACAGATGTGTGTGGTTCTCACTTCTAGTTTGATGTGGTTGTGTGTCTGCTGCTTCACCATTTGTTGCCCCCAGGACTAAGCACAGCAGCCTCCTAAATTGCTTCACTTTCACATAACTAACAGCTGTTAATCCATCCTGATTTAAGGTTCAGGACATCAAAGAGAACGTGTGTGATTTTGAGCAACTCATCCCATTGACAGCACCATGATATTGGGGATATTTTAGTTTGAGTTTAGTTTGCTAGTGGTGCTCATCCAACGTGAGCCAATTCAGCAATTAAGTTGTGTGTTGTTTTGAATGTCAGTTTTCTTTTTTAATTGCTTTTATAAATGAGTTTAGCAGTTGGTGTCGTTTTTTTTTTTAAATGAACTCAGCGCGTCTTAATGTGTATTTACCCCGAGGCTGCTCTTTACTGGAGGACAAAACAAGCGTTCGACACATTTCTACAAATAATCATAACTAAATGTCATATGATGCATGTTACGCCTAATCGCAAACATTTGCAGTGCTGATAGATTCTACAAGCAGGGGACAAAAATACCTGTTGCCTTAATTAAACCTGTGAAATTCTTAAAGAGGCCACCGTTGTCCATAAAACTAGGATTTAAATATTATATTTGAATAAACACACGTTTTTACCTTTCACCACTTCTTAACCTTTTTAGATATTCCAAGGTAAGTTTGTGTTATATTTTATATTTGAGCAGATTTTGGTGAGTCATCTGGCCGATAACTCACCAGCAAACTGTGTGTTGTATTTGCAGCCAGTCACATGGGCCATAAGCTTTATTTAGCTTCAGCTCATAATGATCACTAAGAGAGTCGTCGGGGAGGTCGGCTGCACAATAAAGATACAGGCTGATGTGCTTTCGGATGTAAGTGTGTGTGGGGGACAAATTCATCCGTTCAAACAAGCAGAGGGTACAATTTCTAGTCCAAGGTGTCACGTCAGAGATGTTTTGGTCCCAAAAGTGGAGGTTAATAACCCCTGGATCCATGACGGAAACATCCCCGTTGGCCTTAGGTTGACTAGCAGACGTCAACACTTCTTGTTATGGTCCTGCTACAGAAATGATCACACTCACACATCACATCACATTAAGTGAGCTGCAGTGGGTGGGCACTTTCAGGAAGATGACAAAGTAGGTTGGGTATAAATTCATCAACATTTGCTGGAAAGCATCTGAAAGAAACTGAAAGAGGACGAGACCTTACGAACTCGTCCAAGTTGGACCGGATTGTTCAGATCGGTCTGTAAATAAGGGACGTTTTCAGGGTGCGTTCTGTTAAACACAACATACATATTTACCTGGAAGACACAGCTGCATTAAGGTTGACAATTCATCATGTCCCAATTTAACCAAACTAAACCTATTTATTTCAAAGAGTCAAAAGCCAATCTAGCTCATAAAATACTCAGTGATGATCATTCTTGCATAAGATATTCCTGTCTTAAATATACAACTAACTAACATATATTATTAATATTCATTAATCTGGCAATTATTCTGTCAAACAATTTGTTTTCAGCTCTACATTTGATGCTACACAAAAATAACATGAACTAATATTTACATTGTAGACTATGAAATAGTATTATCTAGGGAAATACAATTTTGCAAGTTATACACACAAAATATAGTAATTTGCACCCAAACAGGCAATTCAGTGTCCCTGTCTGGTAAATGTCCCCACTTTGTATCACAGACAAGTTTGAAGCCTCAATCCCAAACACAATATAATAGTGACGTATCGTCGGGACTTTCCTAAATTTCCAACACAGCGACAAAAGACTTTGATCAAGAGTTTTCCCCTCTATGATTGTTTGCATAATATGTTTGACCTCAAACACTGAGCTCAGTCACTTCTATAGCTGGCTCTACTCGGAAGATTGTGACCTACCCAACCCCCCCCCAAGCAAACCCCGACCCTGTTTGGTATGTTGTGGGAACATACCAAACGTGGGTCAGTGACAGCTTTGTATTCATAGGTGATTGGCTGAGTGTGTGTGTGTGTGTGTGTGTGTGTGTGAAGCCCCACACACACTTGAAGAACTGTGATGCCATTTAAGGAATGTCCCTGCAGCTGCGGTGAGCAGTGGCAAGTTCACTATTTTCTGGGAATTTGACTTCCACGGCCATTCACTCAGCTGTGTTGTTTTCTATAGTGATAACTTTATATAGAAAGTGTCACCTTTCTTATGCCTTCACTTTTTCTGTTGATATACCAATACCCACATTACTAGACTGCTAGCTGCATTTCTTTTTTTTTTGAGCGGGTTTAAAGTCAATTGAAAATCAGAAACTTAAACAGACTCCTCGTTTATCTTGTTTAACATTCTCTACTAGCAAGTTATTCTTTGGTTGGTTTGATTATTTGTTTAGGACTTTGTAGCTTAAATAGCTCTTACAAATGGAAAGTTGAATTCACGAACAAGAAAAGACACCTTTTCTCAGTTCAGTACACTCTGGAGCTTTACAGCTACAGCCTTACTTCAGCCCCTTTCCCACTGGACAAGAAACCTACTAACACCCACTAACATCTGGCTTTTGTCTTTAGTGGGAAAAGGCTACAATCCTCATTCATTCCAGGGACGTATATAACTCTGCAGTAGTCTCAGGTATTTATCGGCTCCGGCTCTGATCAGCAGCGGTGGAAACATGACACCTGGGTGGACACGCTTTTCGCCCCTCCCCCGGTGCGATGCAATGTGACGCGCGTTGAAGTGATTATGTAATGAACACAATCAGCAGGGATTTGGACATTTTATTATAAAACATAAAATGAATATGCTCTTGTAATTACACCTCGCTGGTCGTCGTGAAACACACTTAATTTAAATTCGACAGAAACAAAATAAATAAAAACAGTCTTTGCTAGTCTTTTCACTGTTTCACAGTACAGTCATATATCAAATATTGTCTTAAATTGAGGTGAGACGCCGTCAGACAATAGTGTTACTATTCTCCTTTGTTTTGTGGCTGCTGTTGACAGGAAGTCTCACTTTTACAGGCACAATTGAAGATTTGGATGTTTTTAATTCAACCACATGGATTAGGGTTTTCATCTTTTATACCCAGTTAATAAGGGACTTTGTCTTTTTATTCATGATGATGACGATGAACGTTTTCACTCAATCGATATAGAGGTTTCTAAATTTCTAAGCAGAACAAACTGCAATTCCTCCTGTTGAAGGGCATTACAAAGTGGACAGAGATAAAACCTCATCCCTGACATGAACATGACCTTGGGCATGGCGACATCCACAACGCTGTCCCCTGATTGGTCGGCGGGTGGCACAGCCTACCCAGTCTGCGCAGCTGCGTGTGCAAATAGTTGTGTGTAGTTTTTTTTTTGTGGGGAGGCAACAGATGAGCCAGTACAGTGACGTCAAAATCAGTTGTTTCAAGCGGTGGGGGGTGTAGGGGTGTGTGTGTGTGTGGGGGTGTGTGTGTGTATCGTGTGATCATTTCACCAGTTCATCTATGGTCAGCCAGCAGCTCTCTGTGACCATGGCCTTGTCACTCCACTACTCTGGGACTACCCAGTATAAAACTGGGTAGTCATGTGGCGTGTCATGTGATCACGTCTTGAAACAACCGTGGGTATTTAACAGTGTTGGTCCACTGTGTCTGTTTGTTCAGTCTATCTTATCAATAAGTGCAAATGCTCATTGTGGTTAAGGCAGACAAACGTGTGTATGTGTGTACTTGTAGAGCTATCTTCATGAGGACCGCTTAAAGTTTTAGTCCCTCAGATTGAGGATATTTTTGGAACGTGAGGACATTTTGTCCAGTCTTTCCTGGAAGTCACCTCTAAAGGCCAGTTTAAGGGTTCATACTTGGATTCAAGGCTCAGGGTAGATTTAGGTTTAGGTTGGGGTTAGGGAATGCATTATGTCAGTAAGTGTCCTCACAAAGATAGAAGCACACGGTTGTGTGTTTGTGTGTGTATGGGGGAGTTATGAGGGTGCACGAAGGAGGGGCCTGGGTGAACTGGGTGTCCTCATTGGTCAACACAGGCCCTCCCCCCTCCGTTTTAAAAGCCTGCTTTCTCACCTGAGATACAAAAAAGCTGTAGCTCCTCGCCCATTCACTTTTCTATCAACTCTCTCGAGAATAAATCGATTAAAAAAGAAAATAAAAGAAACAATCCAGGACCCTCTTTACGGAATTTTTTTATTAAGTGAGTATGCCTGCTCTGCTTGAAAAATGTGATTCATACTGTGCATGAAAATAAGGTCACCAACCTTACAGAAATAGCAATACGCTTGTTGTTAAGGAAAATAAATCTTCTCCAAGCTGTTATTTTTGTAGCAAAAGCCTTTTCTTGACTTCTCTAGCTGCAGCAGGGTGTGTTTGAGTAACACACATTGGCTCAGACTGTTACAAGTGAAGTAGACCACAGTTACTGCAGTGTGCAACGCTGGAAGGATTTTTTTCTCTCAGGTGGCCGCTGATGCAAGGGTTTGTTTGGGTGGAGGATGTGTAAGAAAGCAGGAGTGTTTTCAGAGGGAAGACATGAGGTTTAGAAAAACTCTTTGTTGGAGGAAGTGATCTAATATTTCTTCTTAAAGAAATAAGTTTATTTTATCTTGAAACAATGGACAGGCACAGTGTTGTTGTTTTTATCTGTTTTCACTGACAGTTTGGTCCTATCACACAGAAACTACAGGATGATCTTCTTTTCTAAACATGTTGACTCGTTCAGTTGTTTTCTGCTGTCCTTTTATTTTGAAAGATCACTTGGTGAAGCTGCTGACAACGGAGTGCGGTTACTGGTGGTTTTGGTTGATTTGCTTGTGTTTTCCTGTTTTCTAATTTCACAAGTCACCAGCCGTGTGTGTGTACTATCATGTTTGCTTCTGCTTTACAATCAGTGACAGCAGTTTGACCAACTGAAAGATAGTTTTTTTAATACAGATCATAATATTCATAATATTCTACTGCAAGGCAATTGAAGAAATATATTCTGCAATTGTGAAATAGCTGCAGAATTGTAGTTGTGTGTGTGTTGGCCAGTGTTGGCAGCTGTAAACACAAGTGTGGAGACATCCCACCACTGCCACTTTCAGAGGTGGTCAGACACGTGTGCTTCTGGATACAGTATTGGCATATTCATCTCTCTTCTCTGCAGTCTCATTTGTCACGTTGCTCTCCAGCCGTTTCATTAGCATTTTTGTGGATTTGTGTCCAGAATGCAAATAGCCAAAAGCAGTCTTATTTTACAGCTGTGTGGCAAATGTGCACCCTCTGTTTTGGGAGGATTCAATTCAATGTAAATGTGCCCCACTCCAGATGTAATTGACACACTACTTGTAGGTGTGAACTGCAGTCAGTTTCAGCTCCACAGATCTCATACCGTGTGGGGTTGGGGCCTCGGTGGCATGCTGCCAAACGTGTGCTTTTGTAATGTTATGATTGTAACAACGGTGGCATTAAACTCCGGAACGCATGACGCTTACCAAGTCGGACAGGTTAATCCTCCTGGCAATGGAAAGTGAGACCTATTACCCGCATCTCTCTTGCCACGCAGCAGAGAGCGACAGTGAGATATTAGGTGTACTGGCCTGTGTGATGTGGTTTGTTAACGGTAATGTAGCCGCTTGATCTCTGTCGGCTTAAAGCGGCTGAATTCTGTGGGTCTAGCTGCACCAGGTGGAGAGTTCTAACACCTCCGTCATTGTTTGCAGCTGATCACCTTGTTGTACAATGGAAAGCTCTCTGTGGATGCATGGTTGCATGTTGACTGAAAACACATTGTGATGGAAAGATACTGCTGGGAAAACCCAAAGCATAGACACAAGAACACAACCTCTTGTGCACAGTTTAGCGGTACTTGTACTTTTTGTATTTGCCATTTATACTACTTTATAGTAACACGTCACTACATCTCTGAGGGGAATATTGAACTTTTGAGTTACAAAACCAATGATAGGTTTACAAAATATGTCGAAGCTTATCATATTCATATGTAAAAGATGAAGATTAAACAACCCGATATATAAAGTTGTCCCACCACGACCAGCTACAATATTAACATTCTGCTTACATGTTCAAAAATAACAATGTATTAGTATAGCAAAATACTGGAGATACTTTTTATGTATCTTTCAGCTCTTTGCTTTGGCTTTCCGCTCAATAACTGTCCTGTCTTGGTTCACTTTCACCGCTTTTATAGTGTTGTTTTTGTAGTTGTTTTCGCTGAGAAAACCGACTGGCCACTACTTTTTAAGCAGCAGACAGACAAAGTTAGCGATTAGCTGTTGAACACAGAGACACATTTAGCCCATTAACTGTATAAAATAAATAAGTGGACGTAGTCACCGGGAGGTCACCCATTGTTTTGTTGACAACAGTTTCGTAGGCCTCAGTTTAGCATTTTGGTCACCACCAGCACCTTTGTTTTTGTCTGTCGCCATCTTGGCTTTAAGTACAACCAAATGCTGAATAAGAAATTTGTAGGATTTCGTGAACTGAAAACACCCTGTGAAAGGGTTGTAAACAGAAGCACGGACAACTCCCAGACCGGACAATGTCGTCACGGTAGCCACGCCCTAAAGCCTGTTTTTACTCTAAAAGGGACCATCATTTATTAAATACACAAGTTGTTTTGAATAAGACTTGAAACTAGAGATTGAGACCATAAACACATGTTTACAATGTTTACTAAAGTTACAAATCGCTTGAGAAGTAGGGTCATTTTCTCATAGACTCCTATACAATCAGACTTCCTCTGCCGCCCGCTTTAGCTGCTTAAGAGCCAGATATTTGCACTAAAACTTGAAACTGTGCTCGTTCCAGTGGCATTCCACTGGGATCGACGCCGCACAATCGCTGCTGTAAATACTTCTAAACAAAGGAGAATTTCGCAGCGACACTTTTCTCGCGTGACACCTCTGTTGTTGTGGTTGTGTTCTTGTTGCTATGGTTTGTGCTTTCCCTGGGTTGCATGTCGTTGAGTAGCACTTGGGATCTTTCCCTCTACCCAATCAAAGAGCTCTTTGTGTGAGTGACCAACAGCACTGTAAATAATTTGGCTTGTTGGGAGCATGAACAAATCATACAGGCTTTGTTGTCTGTCTTTTTTCTGTCCTTACATAACTCAATGAATGCTACTGACAGAAAATGTGTGCTGTCGGCTTTTTTTTCTTTAATGATAGTGGGTGAGGCTGAGTAAACCAGCACGTACATGAACACGCTTTCTGTTGATGGTGGCGGTCAGGTGGCCTCTTGAATTTATTGCATCTATGACCATGTTTCAGGGTTTGTTGATTTAGCTCCAGCCGGTACTCTCTACATACGTCAGCATTGTAATGTCTTCCTAAAGACAGAAGAGATTCCTATTTTATTACTTGTATTTTACAAACAGTCATTGTAAACAAAATATATTCCCCAAATCAATGGAAAGAGCCATAAAGCTGGCAGGACATCAGCCGGTGTTGGTGAAGCTGCATGAGGCGCTAAGCTTGCATCATGTCACAGCTTTCCTCACCGCGCTAACGTAACAAACAGTCCCTCAGTTCCAGGAAACGAGATGGACTAATTTGCAAGGTAGCGGGCCCCATTTCACTCAAAAGTGTTCTTCATTCAAGGCCAAAAGGCCCCATGTTGAGGATGATGAAGCCATGAATACCTGCATCCGCATGCCCGTTATCAGCTGAAAGTGGCCACTCCTGGAGTGAACTTAAGTGCCAGTGATTGTTCAAGACTTGTGCCAGTAGCCACTGTTGTTTAAGATGTGAACAGAAACTTTTAAAACCGTCTTAGTCACTATCCCCTAATGTTTCCTGTTGTTTCGTTTTTTTCTAGGTGATTTTTTCCATCTAGCAGAGGTCTCGCAAAGGTTGAGAAAGAAGCACATCGCCTCCTTGTGAACTGTAAAACCTGAAATCCGAAAAAAGAAAACTGCTGTTCTCCGCCTCTCGCCACCGCTGCACGCCACTATGCCGGGATCAGTGGATCGCATGGAGCTGAGGAAAGTCTCCACCGAGGGTGATGACGACAGCACCGGCAGCCTGGATGACTGCTACACGGAGCCCATCGACTCTGAGAAGGGTACCACCGACAGGTCAGCAACCGTGACGTCCAACGAGCAGTGATTTGACCGTGCAGCTCTGTTACTGAGTTTGTTGAACAACTCAATTTGGGTGTGACATTTATTCTTAAACATTGTGTAAACTAGAAACTCTGCTTCTGTGGCTGACATGAGGGGTTGAGAGAAACCCAATGAAACCAGCATGGTTTCTGCAGTAAAAGCATGATTTCTGCACAGTTTTTATTACTGAAACCAGTTTACTGCTTCAAATGTGCTCACGATCTCCAAATTCCTAGTTGCTAGTTGCTTTAATGTTAACCCACCCAAGCTGTAATTAAGTTATTAGAGCGGCATTTACGGCAGCTGCTCAGAGTGACCTAACAGTGTTGATTGACAAGGTGTGAGATGGCAAGGTTTTCATTTTTACACTCTCAAAGTAAATCAAGCATTAACACACCAAGCTTTAAAACCAGCTCTGACATGAGGTCAACTGATCAAAACAGTTCTTCTGTTTGCTCTTGAACACAACACAAAGTCTACAGGATTTGTACATGACATAATAAAAAATACTGTGTATGCATGTGTTCATTTCTTTCCTTCGTCTTGCTTTTATTGGTCCCTGCAGTCAGTTTATGGACGACAATGAGGACGGAGAAAGCCAGAAGTTCCTGTCAAATGGGCTGATGAAGAAGAAGAAATATGAGGAGTACCATGAAGAATATGTAAGTAGTTCATTGAAAGGCAGCCCTGCCACATGATGGAGCTTGTTAGTCACTGTGCGAGCAGCCATGAAGGTCACTAGAAGCTGGTATGACAGTATGTTAGCAAACCACAAATAGGTGCTCTGCAACCACTCACACTCTCACATTACAATTTAGATTTTGATGAGAGCGTACTGGACATAAAAGAGCATTCTGGGAAATGTTGGCAGTTACGAGTTGAGGGAGAATGGGTCCAGTCAATGAAAGTTAATAACTCGCACTGAGGAACTGGTAGCAACAGCGTAGAAGAACGAGAGGGTGTGTTTGTCCTCGTGGGTTATTTTCAAAGGCAGACTTTACTCCGCTGTTAATTGTGTTTTCCTCACACACATATCTCTCTCTTTCTTCCTTCTTTCTCTTCTCTCCGAGCAGCATCCCGGCCACACCTCCTTCGGGATGTCCGTGTTCAACTTGAGCAACGCCATCATGGGCAGTGGCATCCTGGGCCTGTCCTACGCCATGGCAAACACCGGCATCTTGCTCTTTTCGTGAGTACCGCCTTCCGACGCTTTCCCGTTTTTTGACATGTCGTTCCTTATGCCTCACAATTGTTGACAACGTCTTCTTAAAATCCGGAATGAAAGCCCTGAAACAATCTACAGGCGGCGTAGTTAATTAACACTGCTTTCAGTTGCACAGCCATCCTTAATTATAAAATTGCAGACATTGTCGGGCTGTGCTCGGGCTCGGCCTTAAACACAGCGAGCCAGGGCCAGGACTGGAGTTTTTGTTAAATGCAGGACTCTACCGGGAACCATACTTTTCAGACAAAACTGTGTAATTTGTAGAAAGGGTTCTCAGCCTTGGCATAAGGGTCACTTCTGATCGTTAAAAAAGGACCACCGTCCCAAATAAATGAACTTGGCTGTAAAGATGTGTGTTGGATGTCAGATTGTGCAGCCCCCCTCTGTTCGTCAGCTGTAATGAAATATTTGGCTTACCCTCACCCATCACTGCCTGTCATTGAATGAATCCAAATTGAATGTGTTTAAATTTAAGGGCCATATTTCCTCAACACACACTTTGGAGCTTTTCCTGGCGCAGGGTCTGGAGCTAGCTGAAGCAAAACACATGTAAATTAAAATCACCACCTAAAATACAGAGCAGCTCTGCAAACGTTTGAACTCCTGCACCCTGTGCCTTCAGTTCCTCTGCCAGCTCCGTCTGCCCCGTGCACATGCGTTATTAGCACCCATGGGTGCCCTCCAGCATCCGACACCCCGCTGTCACTCTACACCCCTCAATCCCACCCATGCAGCACCCCTCTGTTCGTTATCCATGCCCCTGCTGCCTGGCCGCTTCATGAGCTGAAGCTCAGTGTCAATGCCGTGGAGAAATATTGCCATAGCTGCTGAGAAATGATAGAACAGGGAATTATAATGAACTCCTGCCATCTTCTGTCAGTAGAGGTAACGCATACATTTTTCCGCACCACCAGCACAAAGACCGTCTCCACCCTGTGGACTTTTCTCTTCCTTCAAGATACCAAAGCTGACTTCATGCACGTTTGAATGTTTAAATTTGGCACTAATGGCGGACATTTGCTTTCCCTCTCTGTGCAGAATCCTCCTCATCGGTGTGGCCATCCTCTCCTTATATTCTGTGCATCTGCTCCTTATGACAGCTAAAGAAGGAGGTGGGTACTTTAAGTCAGCTTCAGATTGATCACCAAATCCTGCTGTACAAAATCATGGTCATTCTTCAGACTTTTCTCTAATCTTTGCTGCTTTTTTTTTGTAAATTACTGTTTTAAGTCCAATGCTTTCACCTCTACGGGCCTCTAAAAGTTATTCAAATGGAACAATGTCTTTGACTGAACTGAGTAAGGACAGCAGAAGTGACAGCATAAACTACACCTGATCTGTACTTCCTGTTACTCCCATTGTCTCTGCTTCTGTGGCGATGCCTGAAGTGTTCTCCATGACTAATTAAACTTCTCCGTCATGACAGGATCCCTCATCTATGAGAAGCTGGGAGAGAGAGCATTCGGTTGGCCTGGGAAAATCGCAGCGTTTGGATCCATCATCATGCAGAATATTGGAGGTATAGGCAGTGAATTTCGGCGGCTTGATTTGCGAAAGCTATGTGTGAGTGTACTGTTTGAAATCCTAAGCGCTCTCCGTCATGTCCTGCAGCCATGTCCAGCTACCTCTTCATTGTGAAGTACGAGCTGCCCGAAGTGATACGCGCCTTTCTGGGTTTGGAGGAAATCTCTGGGTGAGTGTGTGTGTGTGTGTGTGGAGATTCAATGTGTGCAGTGTGTACAGTCGAGACCCTGAGCTCCTTTTAAGCTCATGTGCTGTGCTTGCAGTGAGTGGTACCTGAACGGGAACTACCTGGTGGTGTTCGTGTCGATAGGAATCATTCTGCCCTTGTCTCTGCTCAAAAATCTGGGTAAGGACTCACTTTGCACAATTGAATTGTATATTCAACTATTTTGCCACATGCTCTGTAATTCAGATACTTTACAATACTGCCACTGACTTCTAAAAGGCGGGATCTACGTTCCTGCAGCTGTCTGTAACCACCTAGTAATGCAACACTATAGTGGAGCCCTTAGTCAGCACTCGCAGTTGGGAGTTACAGTAACGCAACACTGCCATTAAGCCTGCAGTCAGCTCCGCCGCCCAGATGTGATTTATGAACGAACGCGAGAGTCAGATCCGCCTCAACTGGCTCAGCTCCAGGATTCTGCACACTAAGCCCAATACACAGGTTATGTAATTAAAACAGTTAGACATAAAGACGCAAAAAGCATCAAAGCCATGTGTCGAATGTTTAATGAACAAATGGCAAAAGAAGTTAGGATTCCGGAGTGCGCATTCGTTAGATTTGCATTCCTGGGTATTAGGGTTTGGTCACCGTTCTGTCCGAACCCTAAAGGCTTCACTCACATCCGAACTGCCGCTCGTATCAGATCGATGTTATTTGAGGACGTGGGTCACAACTTAGAACGGGATGTGTGACCCACGTCTGAGAATTGGTGTTAGAGCAGAACAGATGAGGAGAGGTGGCAGCGTACGAATAGCAAACTGTTGCACAGTATTACATGAGTAACTGGTGCCGTCGTCTCCCCGGTGCTTTCTGCTCTACAGGCTACCTGGGCTACACCAGCGGCTTCTCGCTCTGCTGCATGATCTTCTTCCTGTGTGTGGTAAGTTCAACACAGTACAGCACAACTTTGACTTTTTTTTAGATCACATGAAAATTCGCACTTTTATCGCTAGTCGAAGTCAGGACTTTTTGTTGTTTGTTTTTTACACTGCATATGTGTGCATCTTTAACATTCTTGTTAGGAGTCCATGGATACCAACTACTTGATTGTGCTCCTTGTAGTTTATGAGATACAGTCATTACCAGACTCTATTTAGACTTTGAGCACATGGGACTACCGTTTTTGTCCTGCAATATAATAAAATATATTTATAAAACAGTCCTTCCATGTGCCCGAAGTTGAGCTTCGGAATATCTGTTACTGCACTAGAATTACTTTAGTTGTAACACAGTTTTTATATACAGTATATTTAGTTGTTACAGTGGAAATCCAGTCCAATAGCTAAATATAGTATGATAAGAAAACTCTCTTCTCAGCCAAACGGTTCGACCGGTTTTGAAAATGTCATCAGATTTGTGCTTAGGCCTAGAAAAGACTTTAAAATTGAATTTGCTAGCACAAATGGGTTAGCTACTCTTAAAGGCAGACCAGGCATTTGTCTACAGCACATCTGCTAATAAGATGTATTAAAGCTGCTCTTTTTGTGATTTTAGGAATGGATGCAATGACTACGTGTATGTGAAAGGGGTCGCTGTTGTGTGTTCACAGCTTGTTTCTGCTTCCCCCAAATTGCCCCAAAAAAGAAAATCAGTAAATGCAGTTTCAACGACGATTGTTAACTTGCTAACTAGCTGTCATTTGACCCAGTCCAATATGGCCACCACAGGGTGTGGTACACTGTCTGAGTGCCCCGTTTACAAACCTGTGACTGTAAATGTAGAGCTAGCAAATACGCTACCGCCACAAAGCTAACTCTTGTGAGGTGTCATTTTATTTTGTTTTAAGTGCACCATTCGTGACTTCATATTGTTCTTTCCCAGATGATCTACAAGAAGACCCAGCTGCCCTGCCCTCTTCCCTTCTTTTACCACCACTCGGCCAACCTCAGCATGAACGCCTCGGACATGCCGGGGCTGAACCGCACGGCGCATATGGATTTCTCCCACTCTGACGTCTCCCCGGTGGTGCTCGGCAGCCACGACGCTCACTCCTCCACCGGCGTCCACGTGGCTCCCCACCCAGACGACGAGGAGATGTGCACGCCCAAATACTTTGTCTTCAACTCACAGGTGAGGCCGGCGGTAGCCCACAGGTTAGCCTGTAGCGCTAGCACAGAAACCTTTGTCCAACTTGCAGTGTTGTGTGTACATGAGCTCTTTTTAAATCTCAATGGCAGAAGGTTAAAAGGGTGCGACTCTTGAAGTGCAGCCCCAGAGTGTTTTGTGAAGGTGTGTCAATTTACGCAATGGCTCCTTCGTTGGTTAAGTTTACCATTTGAATCAGTGAATGCAATGGCAGGATTAAGTCTCCTTTTCTAAGGTGAGCTGTTAAATGGGGAGAAGGTTGTTCATTGTTCATCCACATGAATACTCTACGTTTGTCTAAAACTATTCGAGACATTTGGGCTTACACACATCTTACAACCAAGTCCAACAGAAGCAGAATACCAACAATAAGCCAAGATATGTTTGGAAAAAGGTGGGGTTTTGTCATTTTTGTGTGTGTGTGTGTGTTTAGGGATTTGTGTCTGGGCCCAATTGATCATAAATCAGGATAGGAATATGACATGTAGCATTATGTTCTCATGGGGTTAGCTGTGCTAACGTAACTCACAGAGGTTTTGATTTCCACATTGTTTAGCAGGGGAAGCTGTAATTTTACCGTCTTTGACGAGATGACAACCAAAGCAGGTACTCATCTTGTTTTGTGCTATTTTTGGGGCCTTTAATCACATGCCAGATGTAGTTTTAGGCGTTCAGGCACAGGATAAAGGTTTTTTTAAGGGTTTTAAAGGGAACAGTGTCCTCTGCGCTGTGAAAAAACAGCGCTATCCATTGTTAGGCGTTTCTTTCCAACAGCTACATACTGGAAGAATGACATCATATAAACCTTTTTTCTGCGTATTTTTTTTCTTCCCAGACGGCATACACGGTGCCCATCCTGGCCTTCGCCTTTGTCTGCCACCCTGAGGTCCTGCCCATCTACAGTGAGCTTAAAGAGTAAGTGAGAGCAGTCTTTTATTTTGAAGTTGAGAAAAAGCTCAATCTGCATGTCATTTTCCAAGATTCTCTGTACTGCAAGTCTCGACCCTATAGCTTTTAGACGCGATGTGACCTCTCTGAATGCCTGTGTTGCTTCCACAGTCGCAGCCGTAAAAAGATGCAGAATGTCTCCAACCTGTCCATCCTGACTATGCTCATCATGTACATGCTGTCAGCACTGTTTGGCTACCTCACCTTTTACGGTAAGGGCAACCAAACACAAAAGCAGCAGTGTACTTTGGGTGTTATTCTGCAAAGTACACTGTAGTCAGTTCTGTGCAAAAGGCACAAACAGACAGATAGTTAAATGGTACCAGTGCTTTATTCTAGACCAGGGGTGTCAAACAAAGGCCGGAACCGGACCACCAAAGGGTCGGATCCGGCCAACTAGGTGACTTAATAAAGTATGAAAATTGCAGAGAAGTCATTATTTCAAATGTTTCAATAAAATGCACTGCTGTTCCTTGTTGTCCACTGGGGGCTGTGCTGTCATTATAAGAGTGGCAAGAGAAAAGTGGACACAAAGATAATTATTTTGCTTACTTTAGTTGTAATGGAATAGATTCTGGAGATTTGACATTGACACTAATATTTGAACTTTTGCTTCTATCTCCTTTTGTTCACCAAGTGTTACATTTTTCCTTTGTCTCTCCTCCAACACAGAAAAAGTGGAGGCGGAGTTACTCCACACCTTCACCAAGGTGTATAAGTTTGACACCATGTTGCTGCTGGTGCGTTTGGCTGTCCTCACTGCCGTCACTCTGACTGTCCCCATCGTGTTGTTCCCTGTGAGTAACATCTCACACAAACACACACTCTTGTTGTCTCTTAAAGAGCCTTATAAGTTTGTGTTGCCGGTTTTCTCGGAGGAGAAGATGGGGGGGGTGTAGCAGTAGTTAGGTCGGGAAAGCAAAATAATTAGCCTCACAGCGTCTTTTTCCTCTCTCATCTCTCTCAACATTGTTGAATCGAACAGCTGTTATATTTTGATTCACGTCAGAGTGCAAGAACATGCTGTGCCGACACACACAAACATACACCACCCTAGTAATTAGGTATCTGGCCGCCACGGCCCAACTGACGCCAACCAGCTTCTTGTTAAACCATTTATTCAGGAGCACATTACTGCCACTTTGGGTCATTCTGCACACAGACTGTGTTTTGTCTTCGCTTTTTTGCAGTCGTTTTCTGGTACGCAGCTGGGTTTCTTTTTCCTGGCAGTTCGGTAAGAAAAGAAAAAAAGGACACGCTGTTCGGTTTGGCACTCGACCTGTGTCGTCATCTCAGATCCCAGAGCACGCAGGCTGAGGTCGAAAAAAGGCCACGCCTCTCAATTACACCGAGGCACACTTAGAGATCTTAACAGTAAAGCCTCTTTTACCTTTTATTTTTTTGTTTTTTTGTCTGTTTCCCCATTTTCTCTCAAGCTGGGGTCAAAGGTTACCGACTTGTCCTCCCAGTCACATTCATTTACACATACGTATGCACACTCCTCTTCTTTCTCGCCCCATATATGTGCACGGGCTAATTTTAGCTTGGCTCTTGTCTGACATAAGGAGCACAAAAATGGCCTCTGGCCAGACGAAACTTGCATGCCCTGTTTTAGCTTCCATTCACACACACGCACACACACGCACACACACACAAACAGATTTATATCAAGACATAACAGACATCTGCTAATTTGTCAATCATTTCTGAAGTGGCTGCAGGAGCAGAAGGCGGCCACCGGGGGGCAGCAAAGTCGTTGACATTCAGTCACAAGAAAGTGCTGACAGAGAATGATGCAGCAATGACTGCATGTTATGGCTGGACACAGCACACACACACACATTGATAGTTACAGATTATAAATATGCACACTTATCTGAGCGCCTTGATATTCACTGTCTTGTATCTAAAACACACACATTCTGTTCGATTTAGCCATATAGCTGATGCTCCCGTCCCCCCTCCCCCCATATCCCCCCCAACTAACACATACACACTCGCCGCAGATACTGCTGTAATTTCAGTATTGTGGTGGGGGGGTGGGGGGTGAGAGAGGATCGCCCTCTCTCCGCAGTGGAAGTTTACAGGCTCAGGGTGGACAGTGGAAAAACCCTCACTCTTCAGGGAGATAGAGAGGCGGAGCCAGTGAGACAGGGGGTGAGCCGGCATCACGGGGGTGCGGAACGGAATCACAAACCACAGCCGGTGCTGCACAAGCCTCTAAATACAAATAGAACTGACAGAAATCTGCATGTGGATCTGACTCACAGATAGTGAGGAACAATCTAGTGACTGTCTGCTGGTGGCTGTGGAAGAATACCTCAATTCCATCCAGGAATATTAGAGACTTGCACAAGGATGAATTTTGCAAGATGTGTCCCTTTTTAATTTTGTATATATGGAAATCTACCAAAATTATACAGGATTGCCCAGTTTTCATATGTGGTTCCAATTTCACAGTGTGTTCAAGTGTTCTAAACATTTACGTGAAATAGGCCACACCTCTATGAATTTAACAGCAATATGGTATGAAAGTTAAAAAGAATAACTCTTTCAAAACAGAACTAATATTTGGGCCTTCTTGATATTCTCCCACATGATACTTTCTCAGAAAAAAACAAAAAGGCAAACCCATAGTTTGTCTGGTTAACTGCAAACATGCAATTACATGCATGTGTCTGTCTGCTCCTTTTTCTGGTGCCAACTTATTCACGGGCGCTAGAAAGTGGAAGCTTGATTGCGACTGGCGCTCACAATGAATACATTTAAAATGTAATTGGAATGCAGAAGGGGGAGAGGGAGGGGGGGGAGGACTGAGACAACAGAGGAGATAAACATTCTATAAGGACGGAGAAACACAAGACTGAAATTGGATGCGGCAAAACAGCCTCGGTGCATGTCGATTAGAGAAAGAGAGAGGCAGAAACGCAGCCAGGGTGAGCCGTTCCTGTCCCCCCTGCAGCCACTTACAACAGGAACAACAGAAGAAGAAAATGTCATACAAATATGTTGTGGTAAAAACTGGTTTGGGCGTGTTTTTACCTGCATGGATTCCTCTTAAAGAAGGTGTCAGTATTGAGACACAGTAAAGTGAAATGGCCGACCTTAGCTAATGCTGTTAATGAAGTGCAATAAAGTTGATTTTCTGCACGAATTTCTGATTAGAAATACGCAGAGTCGGGAATGTTCAGTTTACCGACCGTCGCTATCCTTGCACTGAATTAAACGCCGTTGCTGTAACGTGGTCGGAGAAATTGGCGACCTTGGACGTGCGCGAGGCCTCGGATCAAAAGAACTACTCGATCGCACCGTCGCCCCTTTGCCAACTTTCCGTTTGACATTTGAGAATCTCGCCTTGAATCCTACTGACCTTCATTTCGCAATGGAAATGCTGCCTACCTTCAGCTAGAGAGATTAACATTCGCTTTGTCTGCTGCTGTCCTTGGCTCCAGTGGGGAAGTTTTCTGTGAGAGAGGGGAGACTTGGTGTGTGTGTGTATGGGGAAGTGTAAGTTTGGAGATATATGTTGAGGCGTGTGCGTGTGTGTGTGTGTTTGTGTGTGTGTGTGTGTGTGTGTGTGTGTGTGTGTGTGTGTGTGTGTGTGTGTAGTCACGTGAAGGACAGATGCTAACAGAGGCCAGATCGCACAGGGCTTTGCCAGGATCCAGTACATAATGAAAGGGCTTTATGTGGAGTCAAACATGCCCCAGTTCTCAGGCTCCAGCTGGCGAATGAAACCATGGGAGACGGCTGCAAACGAGCCGATTAACAGCACCACCGTCACCTTTGTGTCCCACCGCCACGTAGTAACATTTCAGTCTCAGCGCTTGTCTCTGAAGTTAGCTGGTTTCTCCCTTACTTACTTTTTACTTTTTAGTCTTGAATATTTGCGGTTAGCTAATCTTGCTAAACCTTTTCTGTCTGGTCGGTGGACATTTTATATTTTACTTTTATTTCATTTAATCTTACATTTTTAAAAAACTATCTTTGGTTTTCACGCACATAACCATAACGCAGTAAGGACATCACCATTTCAAACACTGCGATAAAAGTATTGCGTGTTAATTAGCTAGTAACAACTAGCTTGCGTGCTATTAGCAGCATTACTCAACCCACCGTTTGCTGTGTTTATCCCTGCGTTAGCTTAAAGATGTGACTGGCATTTGGACAATTCAACTTTTTATCAGTGTGCTGATGTCATCTTTCTGTGCCGAGTCCAAAGAACTGTTTGCCTTCCAAGGACGCTGTTAAAAGCTTCTTTTGACATTTCGGTCCCTCTTTAAAGTAATGCATCCTTTATAAAGGGTTTGTAGAGTGTAACTAGACTTTATTAACCTTTAGTTATAATACTAATGCTTTGCAGATCAGTTATAATCATTAGCCATATCTGCCGGTGTCTGCAGGATTATAAACATGGATAATGACACATTTTGGGTTGCCAGGTTTTTACTGTTGTTTCTCCTCCTCGTCAATAAAGATGGATTGGTCTAACTTTAATTATCATCAATTGAAGTTAGAAATGTTAATAGTGGTATCAATAATCGGTCTTGAGTTTTCTCGCTTTCTAAGTGTACTGGTCCACATGCACTGAAGCTCTTTTCTTCAAAGTCAGAGGCAATTATAGCTCATGCATGTAGTTTCATTTCCCGCCCAGCATGAAATATGTTATATTTAACCGCTGTCACACAGTGTCTGCTGCTTTTACTTTGAAAATACTAGAGCACTTACATACGTGCACGAATCTCGACTTAACATAACCCGTGTTTGCAGCACATGGTTTGTTGTTATCCGCGTCTTTTCGCAGAACAAGCTTACGATCTAAGTCCCGGGTTTGTCGCTAACTGGCTGAACCCAGTTGTCGCTGGCTAAATTTGGCTGCCTACAACTAGTCCGTCCACTTACTGTGTGTGCTGGCCTCTGACAGGTAAAGAGTCAGGAGCTAGAAAAGTGTGCAAACATCACACGGTAAACTACAAAGGCTTTGCACCAGGTGTTGAATAGTTTGGGGCCTTGGAGAGAAATGCCGCTTCCAGGCGCTAGTTTTCCAAGCCGGGCCTGATTATGCAACAGCTGGTGGGAGGAGGGGGCACATTTGTAGAATATGAGGAGGGATGCAGTTAAATTACTGTCTATATCTCCCACTTTTTTTTGGGGGGAGTGAACAGTGAAGCGCAGAGGCCATCCCGATGCCTCCTCACAGTCACGATGGAGGTCACCTGGTTCAATCTGACTGCGCAGAAAATCCAGTTAATGTGATTTATTTTTTCCCACTGTGCCACACTAACTGGATGTAAATCTTGTGCTTTAAGTCAGACTTGAAAGGTTACAAAGACGGCATGTGGTGTTCCACCAGCAGTGGCTCTGGAATGCACATGCTTCATCCTGTTCAGGTTAACTCGATGCAAAAGTTACTTTCACTTAAACTCCATTTGCGTCTCTTATTTCATTCTCCACATACAAAGTGTCGGCCAGAGCTGTAATTAAATGTGGTGTCATGGCGACTGGTGAGCCCTCATGTCCCTTGATGTTGGGAGTAGCAAGTAAAAGAGGAAGCAAGATAGAAAAAGAAAAAAAGTCGACTGCGATTGATAATAGCTGCTTCGTGTGAAGACACACCTCCCCCCCTGCAGGCAATCCCGCCCTCCTCTCACTGCCGGCTGATGCAATCCCGCGCTGCCATTACGCCGTGGGAGATAATCCCCCATGGCTTTTTCAATGAGCGGCGTAAGCACCGCCCCTTGTAACCTTCCCCCTCTGTGGCCTGTGAGCCGAAGGAGCCTCAGGTTTCACCTGATACCCGCGACCTTTCACCAACTGGAGGCTTGAACAAAGCTCCCTGTGGCTCAGCAGCGCCGGGCATCTTAGCTGGGATCTCTCCTGGTTCTCTGTGTTACACACACACACACACACACACGATCACACACACTTACCTCGTAGGACTTGACACACTTCAGTCAGTGGCCAAGTTTGGGAATCAGCCTCGAGCACAGGCCAGCAGACGTGCAGACTGTTGTTTGTACACAGAAAAGTAAAAATGCTGGGTTTAGTGCTGGACTGATACCTTTGAAGTCACAAAAGTTACACGTTCCCCCGATCTCAGTCAGTTGTTGGTGAACTTAATACAACTTTGTTATGACATAAATGAACCGCTTTGTCTGAATCCATATGATGAAGCTAGAGACTTCAATATCAATACTATGTGGTTTCTCTCGCCCTCCCCCCCCAACCCCAGATCCGCTCCTCGATCACCACGCTGCTGTTCAGCGGGCGAGAGTTCAGCTGGATTCGCCACATGCTGATCGCCGCCGCCATCCTGGCATTCAACAACTTGTTGGTCATCTTCGTCCCCACCATCAGGGACATCTTTGGCTTCATCGGTGAGTCTTTACACGACAGGATCTGTGTAACAGTTGTTGTTTTTTTTAAATAAAATGAATATATTTGACGAATGATAACATTGAGTCAGGCCGTTCCGGGCCCGACTTCAGGTCAGGGGTCGTTTTATTAAGTAAAGATGTTGGAAGTACAGAAGCTTAAAGTGTCGGGTCATATCAGCTATGCAGTCGCATGAGTCCTTTGTGACTACTGGATCTAAACACTCACATTCTCGCTGCCAACACACGGAAACACAGGAACTTACAAATATGTAGACACGTCTCCCTAACGTCAAGCGGCAGCGTTTTCGCACATCAACGTCTCATAGCTAAAAAGACCAGTTCTCTATTTATTTAGAATTACTTATGGTGGGGATTTACATGTATTGTTTTCCTGTACACTTAAAAGTTGCAAACCAATTGTCTGAAAACTACAATTCGCTCTTTTTTTGCAGGTTCCTCTGCAGCCACTATGCTCATCTTCATCCTACCTGCTGCCTTTTACATCCGCCTGGTAAAATCAGTGCCGTTCCGCTCCCCGCAGAAGATCGGAGTAAGTGTGATGACACACACACACACACACACATACGTACACACTCTCAACCTCTTTCTCAATGTATCATTTTTCTCACTCTTTCCCCCGAGGGGCGGATAAAACTTTCAAAACGTGACTCGTCAGAAAACAACCCGCTCCGCTGTGCGTGATCACACATTTAATATGGCTCTCTTCATGTCTCTCTCCCCTCAGGCGACCATCTTCCTCATCGTGGGAGTCATCTTCATGATTGTCAGCCTGTCGCTCATCGTCCTCGATTGGGTCCACAACCCCCCAGGCTCAAGCGGCGGCCACTAAGCCCTCCTCAGATTCACATTTAACAGTGCACCCCGTTCCCTACCCAGCCTCAGCTGGTCCAGCATCTGGGAACGGGGTTCATCAGTGGTTCCCTTCCCTTCTCCAAATCACAAACGTCAATCATAAACAAATAGACATAATGTGCTGCACTGGGTGAAGACATCTACAGTGTACTCCCCCAGAGAATATCTGGGGGATATCAGTTCTTTTAGTGGTTTTGTTTTTTTATTGTTGTTGCTGTAAAGTTCTGGATTAGACAGCACAAACCCGAGAATCAAAATCCAGAGAGGGGGAAACAGGACTCTGGTTTAATGTGCCACCAACAATGTGAAATCATTGTCCTCTTCCTTAATATTTGCAGCTATGAAGAGAAGGAACAAACACATACTGTACAGCCCTCACCGGAAGCAGATCTGTGAACTGCGTTTTTTGCAGGGCTGGAAAGACAATGCGAGTCCCTCAGTCCTCTGTGTACTTGAAGGAGACAATCGGAGGTGGAGTGTGTCGTCCTCCATAAAACAAGGAGCACTTCTAGCATTACGTTTCACTTTGTGTGTAGAGCTAGCACACTGTACACATACGCACACATACAGGCTTGGTGAAAACACATCTACACCCGTATTTCCGGCTCATCTCAAAGTGGTAAAAATAGTAAATTATGAAATGCAATTAAATCGTGTACAACTTTTATTCAGGAAAGTTGTTTTGCTGCTCTGCCACACGTTAAAAATCAGAAGCTTTGCCAAAGTCTACATGCACATACTAAAGTCGATCTGGTTCATACACACTCAGTATTACTGTCACCGAGGGATCTGAACCTTCAAGATGTACATCATGTAGTTTGTCGACTTAAAAAAGGGTTGTACTAAATATCATACTTTGCTTTATACGGCTCTTTTCCATCCAGGTTTTATGAAGCTAAGTGATCATTTCCAACATTTATTCGGCCTTTCATCTAGGGCCATACGTTTTTTTTTTAAATATGCAGATTACATAATTGCAATTGGACAATTCAATAGTGAATTAAATTCAACGAAAAGAGCCAAACTTGAAAGAGCCAACTCAAAATCTAGCTAAGATTGTAGTGAAATATGTTGAAGTAGTGCCATACAATCCTCATGCCTTCTGAAAGAAAACCCTTACTCTCTCCAAATGTAATGTAAGGAGACGCCTTATTTTTTTGAGATATTTTGCTGTGAGTTAGACGAGAAAGATTAATACCACTGATGTCCGTACGCTAATTATGAAGCCAACGTTACAGCTAGCAGGCAATTAGCTTGGCATGAAGACCGTTTGCTAACTCCCCGTAGAACGATAACTTGACGTTTTTTTTTATATTATGGTTTTCATACAAATTTAACTAATGCGACATAACGTTTGTATTACAAAGCTTTAGAGGTGCTGCTTAGTGGATTTTCACTTTGGGCCAAGCCCCACCGGGCTAGCTGTTTTCTCACACTTCCAGGCTTTTTGCGAGGCTTAGCTAACGGTCTTCAGGTGACGGGTTCATCTTTAGCATACTGACATGAGAGTAGTGTCAATCTCTGCAGCAATTGAATAAGCTTTTTTTTTTTTTCAATATCATGAACAATATCACACACATCATGACACTCATGACGCAACAGGGCTAGCTTAAGTATTGATACATGCAGAGGATGCGAGTCATTTTTAAAGTGCAAGACTGTAAAACCAGCTCAGAAATTTATCCAATTTTTTTTTACTAAAATCCTAACATTAACTTTAAAGATGATTTCAAAAACAACATTTTGATGGATAACGTTTAATTTAGTTCTTCAAGAAAATTCTGACAGTGTGTTTTTTTAGCTATGAATTCACTTATCTGTTTTGCTGACAAAACCAAGGCTACATTGTTGATCTCAGTGGACCGATTATCACGTCGTAACATAATTTCAGTTTTCACTCCATTGTTGTACACATAATCAATAATCAGATCAAACTTGTAACAATGATTGATCATTCTTTCAAAATTGTGCCTTTGCATTGTTCTCAAATGAACTTCTAATACTGGTGCCTTTAGTAAAAAAATCATTCACAACAACACCGAAACCTCATTTCACCTCGTCTCTGAAAGCCGTTACCTGTCACCAACACATCCAGCCAAAGTGGATAACAATTATAGATCCTTTGCAGATCTATGAACATGAAACAAATTGATATTTCAAATGAAATAGTGTATTATGTGCATGTTTTTGGATTACAAACATGGTCTTTTTGGACAATTGTATATGCTCTGTAAATAATCTTTATTATATGGTATACTGACACTCATTGTGAGTGGGTTGTTGGGGGATTCTGCCTTACATGTCTTCTGCAATCCAGTTTGTTTTAGTATACAAATATATATAACGTGTATTCGATTTTTTTGTTTTTTCTCTTGCTGTATAACAGTAGTTTTGTTTTATTTGAAGCTTGTATATTTGTAGAAAATCTGGTCTATATATCCATTTTCATGTTTTATTGTTAACTCCTCATATCAGGATAAATTAGTCAGTTGCCTACTTCAAAAGACGCTTTTCCCAGAAGCCTCAGAAACAAGGCAATGTGTGCCTGTTGCTGATTGGCTCCTGCTGACCAACACTGGGTTGAAATCACAGCCATTGTTGAGCAGTATTATTTTGTTCGAAAAACAGTGCATTATCACTTAATTAACAGAAGCAAGACGGGATTATCCAAAGTATTTCGTGAGCACACTACAGGAAGGTTCTTGAAAGAGCTTGTGGCTCTTCTGCTATTCATTCTTTGTTTGTACAGCTCTAGAGCTCTATCTGGACACCTATACACAGTAGTTCATACATAGTGGCTTATCATAGTGTGGTTTATGGTGTATATCACCGCTATCATAGAAAAACTTTTTCAGCCCCGGTTTTATATCTGTGACATTACTTGAACTGGAGATTTCCACCGGCCTTAAAATCAGCAAGCTTCATGACCGAAAGGGTCCACGCAGCCCCTTCGGGACCCCTATGAATGTTCAATAATGGATTGTTCCCAGTTTGAAAATCTGGTTCCCTTGCTTTTATATTCTTCATGAATGTTTAGCTGTCACTTCATTAGCCTCCTGCCGTCAGTGGCATATTCTGCTCGTCGGCGGTCAACAGCTTCGTCTCTTCCTCAGGTTAGGTTTTGTCTTTTTTAAAGTGCTCATTTTAGAGAAGACGAAATGCGACAAGTTTTTACTAGAACAATCCCAGCACCACACCTCTACCCCTTCCTTTAGTATCTCAGGTATTCGTTCTGGATGAATATTTCTTCTCACTTTTGGAAAAATCTCTTCACCTCTTTTTGCATGATTGAGCCAAGCTGTACAATGTTGCCGTATTTTTGTGCTGGCATAGATGAGAAGTCGTCTTGTGGATCTATTAAAGCAGACAAGTCCCCATCTAATTGTGACAGTGTTCAGAAAGGAGTTGTACAGAACCACCTGCCCTATTTTTAAATGGACCTCTATCCGTGGAGAAGCACTGGCTCGATGTTTCTGCTTGTGTTCACAGTGTCTCTGCTTCCTGTGGATCCAGCCGAACAGAGTTGTAATTTTACCCAAACAAAAGGGGATGTTTTTTTTTGTATCAGTGATGCTGTATCATTATGATGAACAATAAAAATGTGAAATGAAAAAGTTTGTGTTTTTCTATTTTTCTTGCCTTTACTTTGGAAGAGATTGTACTTCACAATAAAGCTAGGATGGATTGTAAGCAAGATAACACATTGTTGAAATGCATTGATGGTATGGGCATAACATTATAAAAGTCTCATTTCGAATGTGTGTATAACTTTCTATATTAAGCTTTTTTATCACACCAGGGCTTACATAACAAGTCTCTGTACAGATTGGCGTCTCGGGATTTAACAACCAAAGCCATATTTCTGGCACACTGATCAGATGATGTTAGGCCTCTAGAAATAAAATAGATTATCCTGTTTCTGTCTAGGTAGCATCTACTGCTGATATGCAACACCAGCTTGTAATGTTCCCAGAGGATCAAAACAAGAGGTCAGGGAAATGAGTTAGGTAACCTTGTTCTTTGCAGACATGTAGCCTTGAGTATATGGAGGAACCCAGAGAGCCTTAAAAATGTTTTAAGCAAATGGATTTTTTTTATACTGTTCATAAATCAATAATCAAAGTAACCCACTGTGACTGTTGGTAGGAGACAAGATACAAACAGAAGTTTGCAATGCAGCTAAGGTGTGTTATTGTCCTGTTTTTGTTTAGATTTTAGGAAATCATTTACATGAAAGAAATATCAAAGAATATTTTGTACCGTTCCGCTAGCAAGGTGTGGTCACTGGATCTTTTTATTGCCTGTTTTACTTTTATTCTATTTCTATGGGTCCAGTACTATATTCAAGACTTTAAGCACAGGTATTCGTATTTTACTTCAGTATTTCTTCATGTGATGTGTTTTTATGAACCAAATTCAGCATTTTATTACATGCATGGATACTACATGACTGCAGTCACTAGTTGTTGTTTTTAGAGACTGAGATATAAGTAACACCTTTTTATATTTCTGTTCACAAAGGAAAGACACGAGGTGTGCAAACTGCTGAGGTCATGGTCATCCAGGTCATTAACCGCAAAGTACAACGTGTTTTGAGGACGTTTGGACATGCTGCTCATCTGGGTCTCATGTTGTGGACACCAGAGTGTTTCATTAAGATAGATGAGAAAGTGCGTTGTGTAACAAAGGTTAGATAGACATGATATGGCTGAGGCTGCAGGTGTGAGCATGTTATTGATGTGTGTGTGTGTGTGTGTGTGTGTGTGTGTGTGTGTGTGTGTGTGT